TTTTAGGCAGTTCCAAAGCAAAAATTATCACATTACTTTTAATGCTACATTTTTTATTTCTAATAACTTCACTTTATCTTCTAATTCTTTGATTGTTTTAAATTTGATCATCTTTAAATAGTTCAAATTTTGATTTAAATGATTTATTAACATATTGAGTCATACTTAATAATTTAATAATTTTTTGTAATTTGCTTTGACCCTAACCACAGATACTGTTTTATATCCATGCATTTTTACACCCACCCACTCACCCACGCATTTTTAGGCCCACCCACCCACTATGAGTTTTATGTGTGATATATGATATCAAAACTATAAAAAGTTGCCAATTTATAAATTGCCAAACTAATAGTTTTTATGTTATTTTTATATGTCAAAAAATATTATTTTAAAAAAACAACATTTGTGTAAAAGGTTTGCAAATTATGACATTTGCCATTTAATCATGGCAGAGTCAATATCATCAAGAACTAGAAAAAGGAGCAGATCAAAGCTTTCGAAATATATAGGTTTTGGAATAAATTTTTTTGTATCAGAGTTACCAATGCTAAGAAATCTTCTTATATTTTGTCTGTGTTTATAAAAAAGAAACAATAAAAATAAAAGAAATTACCTTATAAAATACTTAATGAACGATGTTTACATAAAGTTGATTGGTAAATGGATCCACACAAATGCTTTATTTGTATATCCTGTAACACATATCTAACATAATATTACTGCAAGATTGGTGGATTATTGGAATGCAGCCAGCCTGGTTGCTAGGGAAAAAGCAAGCTTAAAGGATAAAGATAGATTAATGGCTAAACAAATTCTTTGATATACTGAATTGAAATTTTTATTAAATAAAAATTAATTTAAAAAGTTAATAAAAAAAAAAATCAGAGTTCTTAACTTGTTTCTCCTCCTACAACAAAGAGTTGGTTTGCGCACTCCATACAAATGAACTTCCTCTGCATCATCTGATGACAACTTTTAGTGGAGACTCTGAGCAGCAACAAATGGAGAGGCAGTATTGGAAAATTACATAACTGCTCTGACATAACTACTCTGGAAATTGATCCATCTTTTCAAAAAATTGATGTTGGAAATCCTCTTGTTACTCTAAAGGATGAAGTAATAAATTTTTTTTTCTCCAATCAGTTTTATGGATACAAAATAGTCTCTCAGACTTAGCTTTACTTGAAATTTGGACATCTGGAATTATTAAAATAAAAATTTTAATCATTCCAGATGGTCGATAACTGCTAACAGACTTTGCTGAGTTTGTTACTCAAAACATGAGTTGGACGGTAAAAATTTAAAAAACCTTAAATTAATAATTGAGTTCGTTGTGAGAGCCTATGTTGTTTAAAATTAAAGTCAAACACAGGTTTACTGAAGGACCGAGACACTTCCTTTACCAGCTTAACCTTCTGAAACATCAATCAAGTGAAGTAGCTGCAGTTGTTATGCTAAGAGCTCAATGTTTAGTGTTGAATGCTTTCTCTGAATCCGTCATATAGACCATGGTCTGCTCAGAGAATGCAGAGGAAAGAAATAACTGTATAGAGTGAATTGTAAAATAAATATTACATAAAAATGTCAAAGAAGACATTAAAAAGAAGCCATAAATGGTACATAACATTGTAAATGTATAATTAGCAAATATTATTTAAGTCCGTTTTTTTTGATAATTTTTTTAAAAAAGGATCTCCAACTGTTTGTAGAAATTTTAATGCCATTGTCACGGTTGAGAAGTATAGGAGCGTGTTTTATTTCCTGGTATGTTGAGGCGCAATTAATTTCAAGTGATTCACTATCTTTACGTTTATAGTATTCTGATTTTATTGCGAGAGTTTTTGAATTTATTTTCGATTTTATTGCTAATAAATAAAATTATTTTGCTAAATGCTGCTAAATAAAATTATTTTCAATTTTATTGCTAGAGTTTTCGAATTTGACCAATCAAACATACCATTCTCTACGGTGTTCAGTTGCACCAAATGCATCCCATTTACCTTTTAAAAAGTTTTTTTGATGTTCAATACATCTCGTTAAAATTTTCTTTTTTGTTTCGCCAATGTATATACTGCCACAAGAGCATGTGAGTTTGTAGACACTGGGATTGCTATTGGGAATTAACTTTGACTTGTTGTTGCATAAGATGTTTTTTAACATAGGTGGTGTAGTAAAAATTATTCTGACGTTGTAATGTTTAAGTTCTTTTCTAGGTTTTGGACCTATTCTTGGGAACCATGGAAGCTTGACTGTATATTTACTTGTTTCTGTTTTACTATAGTGTATTTTAAAAAGGTTGTTTCTTTTCTGAATATAGTTCTTAGCAGTTGTTTCAAGCTTAAATCTATCGTGTCCATTTTCTGCAAACATGTTTGCTAAAAACTGTATTTCATCATTAAGATACTTTGTGGAACAAATTTTAATGGCACGAAATACAAAACCTTTAAAAACACCCATCATTATTTTTGGATTAACGTTTGATGTTGGTTTTATTTGTATATTAGTGATAGCCGACTTTTGATGAATTTTGAAGTTATGGTATGAGTTATTTGTGTTGGTTATGGTTATATCCAAGAATTTTTTTAATATATATATATATATATATATATATATATATATATATATATATATATATATATATATATATATATATATATAATATTAATTTAATTATATTTTTTTATACATTAATTCGCCTCCCGTAGTGTTTAATCTATACACTTGTAGATGAAAGTCCTTATGTTTTAAGAAAGATTAATAGAGATAGAATGATATGTGAATTTTTTTTTTGTGATATCACCTTGGTCACATGCCACAAGGGTTTTTTGTGCATAAAATAAAACTTGCAAAGCTATATTTTATTATCAATATTATAAATATTAGCTAAATCCTAATTCCTAGTACTGTGGGTAGCAGTAGTAAATATCAGTGATACTTAAGTTAACAATTCAATTTAATTGAGCTCAATTAAATTGAATTGTTAAATGACTGTTTTACAATTATTGTTTAATTATATATATTTTATTATATTATATTAAAAAATTGTTTTAATATTGTTATCTTGAAACTTTGATAATGATACTTAACAAGTTAATATCCAGTTAAAAATTTCCAAAAAAACTTTATAGAAGTGAAATATTAACTAAATTAGGAACTGAAATAAGAAATAAAAACTGAACTGAAATTAATTTTAAGAGAACTGATTTAAAACTGAAATAGAAATAATTTTATAAGTAAAATTAGAATTAGAAATTAAATCAACGTCACGAGAACTGAATAGAAACTGAAATAGAAATTATATTTCGAACTTGAATTTCACTGGTATATACATTTATAACTTTAATGTAACTATTGAACACCCTTGATGTAACTATTGAATACCCTTGATTTATAGAATAATAGATATAACAAAGATTCTTTTTTTATAGACATAAATATACTTTTTATGAGTTTTATAAAAAAAAAACATTTAAGCAAAAGACAAAACAACTAATCAAAACTACTGTTTCATATTTAAACCAACATTCCTTCAATGTTGCAAATTCAATGTCTTTAAGGATAAACTTAGTTAAATCAAAAAAAATAAGAAATAAAGAACACTGACTCCATAACAAAATAAAAAAGGTTTTTTTTAAAAAAAATTAATAAAGAAGTTATCTTAAAGTATTAAGAACTGCTTGAAATCAAACAAATCAGCAAAAATTAACAGCTGCTTGAAATCAGACAAGTCAACAAAAAGCTAATAGACACTAAAACTATAAATTTAAAAAACATTTGACACTTAAAACAAATTGAAAAACAAAAGTGATGTTATTGAATAATTTGATCATATCCTAACTAAAAGAAAAATCCTGTTTTTTCCAATTTGATATACATATCTATAAATATTGAAATACTAAATAAAGGCATTTTTTGAAAAGCAGTACATTCCCATAACTGACGATCACCTTAGAATTATCAAACACAGCAGAAAATCATTATATTACAAAAATGGATAAAAAAATGTTAACATATTTTTTTTATATTGTGGTGGTGGCAATTTTTGTGAACTTGTAGGAGTTTTCATATTCAGCAAAATATTTGAAATAATCACTAAAAAAAAAGGTATTACCTTAAAGCTGATTATACAGAGATGACAGCTGATATTGCAGAATTACAACAATTAGTAAAAAAAAATTAGGAAAGTATTTAAAAGAATGTATTTTCAATTTCATATAAAAAAAGACTTGAAATTAGTAAACTTTCTTGACGTCACTTTTAATTTAAAAAAAAAAACCAAATGGCAACCTTCACTATTCACATATTTTAAACTCATCTACCACAAATTCCAATCCATTTGCCTCCATTAGTTGCAACAGACTAAATCAAAATTCTTTTAGTAAACCATTAGATTGTCACTGCTTAAATATCTACATCAGACTAACAGAAGGCAAATAGAAAACAAGATACAACAACCACAAGTTATCCTTTAAAAGCAAATTATATCAAAAACTATTATATCTAGCTATGTTTGGGACTTAAATCACAAATAAAGCAAATCTCCCACATTTGCTGGGTCTGTTTTAAGTTCTAAAATTCTTTTTTCAAAATTTGAAAAAAAAATGTCATCTTTGTTTAAGTAAAAAGCATGCAATTATTTCTTATTTGAAGCCAGAAAACTACTAAATAATCTGTATTCATATCAAAATGTTTTCTCACAAATAAGTAAAATAGTTACATAGCTATCTACAAACCTAATTAACTAATAATGTTCATTAATTGAATTTTTCATCTCCAAATTTAGAATTAATTATTTAATCATACATGACTTGTTTTATCTTATTTATAAACATATATTTGGCATTCTAATTTAATTTAAATTACCTTAAGTACAAAAAAATTTGATTCTAAACTCTACATGCTAATTACTATAAATTAAGTAACACTGACCTACTAAACAAATTTCTGTTTCAAACCTAAGTAAAAACTATTGTTATTTTAAATTTTTGTTGGTTTAGGCTTTCGATTTGTTTTTAAAAGCATCAGAAAATGGCAGTATTGCGTCTTTATATAATATTGGTCTTTGTTATGAGTTGGGACATGGAGTAAATCTGTCATTAGAGAAGGTATGCTTATGCTATTAAGTATATACTTTTTAAATTAAAAAGTAAAATGTTTTATACAGTTAAATAAAATGTTATTGTGCTGTCAGAATGATGATTTTTAAGTTGAAAAATAATGATAGTTATTGTCAAAATGATAAATGATGAAAATTGTATTAAAAAATAAAAATTTAGGCAGCTGAATACTACAAGCTTGCTGCCGATAAAGGTCATTTAAGAGCAATGTACAATCTTTCATCCTTGCATTACCAAGGCGAGGTTTCGTTTTTTCTTTTATTTATTATTTATTATTTTTTAGTAAAATTGTTTTATTTCAGGTAATTTATTTATTTAATATTTAATCTTTAATCATCATCTAATCATCGCTTTTTTTGAATTCATTATAGAATTGGCAAATAAATTTAACAATAGTGAAACAGGTTTTTATTATATGAAGTTAGCTGCAGATAATGGTCTTGTAAAGGTTTGTTTAATTTTTAGAGTGGTGTTTTGTTATGTTATTTGAATTACTTTTAAATGTTACATAATTATTTCAAGAAAATGGTAGCAAAAAACAGATAAATCAAAAATTTTGTTTTGTTCAACTGAAGATTTACAAAACTGAAAATTATATAAATTAGAAAAACAAAAAATAGAGAAAGAATTTTTAAGCTTAGTTTTAAATTTAGGTAGAAATGAGGGAAGGAGAAATGAGTAAGCACAGATGTTTGTACAAATTGTATAAGTAATTAGGGTCAGATTGACAGAGTTACCAGAACTAAGAGATTGTTTGTTTTTTGTTTGTTTTTCAAAAACGAATATAGAAAGTATTTTCAGATGAAATTTTGAAACATTTATTTATTAAAGTTATTTAATAGTGTGTTAGTATGTTTTTAACTATTTAAGAGATATAATTGGACCAGGAGGTGCTGGTCCAAGGTATGCTATGCTTCAGAGAGTTATCTCCATTTCTATTAAACAGAGATGCATTATTGTCATAATTAGAAAACTAGTTTTTGTTATATGCAAATGTTGTCTACAAATTTTAATAATGATGATGATGATTAAAAAATATAATGGTTGCGTTTTGAGACAAAATTTAAGTTAGGTTTGTACTTCAAAAAAGCATAAATTGCAAAAATTCAAATTATCTTAAAAAGTCAAATAGCTGCAACATTCTTTTTTTAATAACATTTTCTTTTTTCTTTTTATATTGCAAATAATAGTTTTAGAATTTAAAATTTAGTTGCTGATTTAGTATAAAGTCTGATTAGTCTAACTAAAATTATTTTAACTTATTTTAACTTATAGTCATATATCTAAATGCAGAGCTTTTTTTCCAATAATAATTTCCTTTACTGGATATTTACTTTTCCAATACTGCCAATACTGGATAACTTGCAGTTTTGAACAAAATATTTATCAACAACATTATAAACTTAGTTTACTAAGTCGTTTTGTTCTTTAGTTATTTCATTTCAAGTTTATCTCTAGTCTTTTCAATTAATCTCTGTTTTTCATTTCACTTTTATTTCTATTCTTTTTACAAGTTTGTTTTTTCTTTGGTTATTTTATTTTAACCAAAATATACTGTCAGTTGGTTGTTTAACTTTGACTCTAATATTACTTAAATCAATAGAAATTGAACATAAAAAAATAATTTGAATATTTTGCTGAATATCTATTTAAAATTTTTTCATATATTTAAATGAAAACTTTTATAGCTCTTATGTGAAACTTTTTTTGCTTTTGCTGTCTTGAATCTTTTTTAAATATCTTTACTTAATTCTATTATTGGGCTTGTAGGATTATTTTAAATTAATTTATTGAAGTTTTTATTATTCATTAATGCTCATCAATATTTTAAACAGTATTACCAGAGGCATAGTGGATTTTTCTTTTAATAGTAATAGGAAATTTTTGATGTGCTGGCAAAGCCAGTGAGTGTGTTTTCATGCGCACTTGACAGCTGTTATGCTTGATTGCTCCTCAACCAGCAATCAAGAATGACTTTAAAATTATCAACGGATTGTGCTGTTATGACTTTATTTGCAAGCATATTCCACAGATTCGCAATTCTATTGAAAAAGAAATGTTCTTTTGATGGAAGTCTGGCAAATTCTTTATAATATTTAAAAGTTACCTCTCAAGTTGTTCTTTACAAATGAAAAACTTTTGTTGATTTCTTTATTTTCAATGCCATGTACAAATTTATATAACTGAATCAAGTCACCTCTTTTTCTTCTTACATTTAAAGTGGTTACGTCTAAAGAAACAAGTCAATCTTACTTGAGGTTACTTATTGAAGGTACAAATTTTGTTGTTCTATGTTGAAATATATTGAAATTAATATCAAGATATCTTTCTGATTTTGATTCCAGCAGTTGAACGCCTATTAATAAAAAGAGAACTCTTTTTGCTACTTAAACCATAATGCATGACAACACATTTATTTCATTAAATCTTAATAGCCAATCTTTGGTCCATTTAAAGGCTCTATCTAAATTATTTTGAATTTCTCTCAGACACAGATCAGAATCCACACGTGCTAAAATCTTAGTATCATCTGCATATAACTTACTGATATTTTTCATTATCATAGGTAAGTTGTTTATATAAATAACAAAAAGGATCAATAACTGAACCTTGCGGCACACCACTTAAAATGTCGACCCAGCTAGATACAATTTTACCTTTACCTATTCTTTTTCATCAATTTGTTAGGAACTATTCAATCAATTTTAAAACAAGATCAGTAATTCCATATGCTTTTAACTTTAATATCTGTCTTTTATGCGCAACAGGATCAAAAGCTTTTTCAAAATCTAACAAAACTACATCAGCTAGTGTACCATTTTCTATGCATGTTATAAAATCAATAGTTTCTTGTAAATTTGTTGTACACGACTTTTTCTTCACAAACCCATGTTGCTGCTGTGCCAACTAATTGTTATTATAAAAATATTTTTCAATTTTACTTCAGACTATTCCTTCTAGTATCTTACACAGAACTAAAGTGAGGCTTTTTAAAGCAAAACAAAAAAAAACATTAAACAACTGCCAAAAAGCTTTAAATTGATCAAATTTTTATTAAGGGAAAATTATTTTTATATTATTATGCTAACATGTTCAACATGGTTGTATATTTTATTCGGTACAGTTAAAAATAATATAAAATTAAATGAATAATGGTAGGTTTTATTGAATGTAGAAGAAGAATAAAGTAAGAATTTTCAAGATTTTTTTGTTTGGTCAAATAGGAGATGTATAAATTTAAATTAATGTTGCAAGTTATGTGAATTTGCATAAGATTTTATAGAAGAAAAGAAAGCTATACGAAATGATATTTTTAAAGCAAATAACCTTACTAAAATTATAAAATAATTAAAATTGTTGATTTTATTTTTTATTTTTGATATGTACATAAAGTATTAGATAAATATATTTTTGTGCTAAATATTTAGGCTCAGTTAAAGTTAGCTCTCATATATACAGAAGAAAAAAAGTATTGTAATGCTGTTAAATATTTTGAAATGGCTGCAAATCAAAATGTAAGTGTTTTTCTAATTTTACCCAGCTAAACTTCATCAAATATTTTGAAATATTACTGCTGTATATTTTAGTATGTTAACCTCTGGTGGCTTATTTTAATATCTAAAAAAAGTTACACATTACAGACTTGTTGCAACTTTGCACCTCAACTAGAAAATCCTAATTTGTCTTGAAAATTGATTGTAAAAATTGTTGACCGTTCAAAAAGTACTGTGAGTAGAACCTTAAAGAAATATTTAACACTTAACACAATAAATAAAAGGCTGAAGACTTGGCCTTAAAATGCAAAACTACCAGACAAAAGGTCCAGACTATCAAAAAAATTAACAAATCAGTTTCTTTAAGAAACAGATGACAATGCCGAAAAAAATATAGTGGCAAGAAGTTGTGTAAGAAAATTATATCAATTATTTCCAATATATCTCAATTGGACAAAATTTTGGGTAATTTGGAGTATTGTGTTTTAGGTATAAAAATCAATATCATTGGCATCATAGAAGTTTCCATTGATTTAAAGTAATGGCAAGACGTTAGTTCCGGGCAATGGAATGAATTACCATTTTTGGTATTTCTTAGTGACAATTCACACTTTTTTTTCGAAGCATTCTTTTTTAATGAATGTCGCTATTTGTTGTAAATTTAGTGACAAAACTTTGGATTTTCATTTTACATTGGCAACTGGTCTGCCACACCTTAATTTTTTGGGTAGTTTCATCAAGTTTTTTGTCTTAAACTTAATTTTGTACCTTTTCCCTACAAACTTCCATATAAAAATGGTGTTTTTCAAAGCTCAAATGAAGTGATCCCAAATTACGATATCTGGAAATATTTCTGGTCATCAAATTCTTAGTTTATTAAAAACTGTAAATACTGTCTTAATGAAATGGTCAATTTATCATATTGCGAAATTAAAGAAAAAACACTTACATTTACTACTGCAAAAAAAATTTAAGTCAATACTTACATATTTTGAATTATTGTTTGTTTAAATACCAGGTAATTCATTATAAACAAAAAGGATTATAAATAAAATAATTATAGGAAATAAAAAAATTACCAAAGGTCCAAAAAATTTGGTATGGTATGTTAAAAATCAACCAATAAAAAATTATACTAAAGCTATTTGGTATTTTATGAAACATTAAAATCGATTTTTGTTTCGGGGGAAACTTTGAGGAATTTAAATATTTAAATGTTTTAAATTAGAAATTAATAAGTTTTTTTTTTTGTTTTGTTTTAGAATGATTATAAAAAGTTTAAATTAGTTTTTATATGTTTTTAAACTACTCTGTCATTAATTTTGAAAACATATCTGCTAAAGAGTTAATTAATTATGAATACATATCTGCTAAAGCGTTTCAAGCATTTAATTTATAAGAAGTATCGAAAAAGATTTAAATAAGATATAAAAGTAATTTATATCTTATATCACAAATTCTTTTATATAAAATATTTGATCATCGCTAAATTTTTTTAGACTGTTATGATTTGCAGTTGTTTTTTAATATCATACTGTTTGCTTTTTTATAATTGTACTGTTTGGTTTTTTCTAACTTTATCTGATGATTTATAAAATAAAATAAAATATTAAAGTTTAAATCATACTCTATATAGTAATGTTAAACTTAATAATAGTAGTAGTGCACTTTCAAGCATGTCTGACACAGAACTCTTGGCAGCCATTGCAACCGAGGTAATGGCAAGAAAGAATCACAGCACTTTTTTATTAGAAAGTGAACAAAAGTGTATCTAAACATCTAACTTATTCAAACTTCAAATTATATAATGTTTAAATATATATCAAGTTTTTACAGTTAAATTTTTACTTGAAAATTGCATTACGTCAATATTTCCTGAATTTTGATCTGTGGCATTTATCTGCCGTTTTATAAAGTCTTTTGTTTGTTAAATAATTAAAAAATGCTCATTAGACAACACATCTGTGTAGTCGAGTGGTTGGCTCGCAGAGTATCAGAAGCAAAGTGCCGTGGTTCGAGTTCTATCAACGTAATTTTTTTTTTTAATTTTTTTTTTTAGATTTTTCTAAATTACAAAATAAAACACTTTTAAAGTTTTATATACATTATATACATAACATATGCAAAGGTATTATACACTGTAACAAATGAAATTTTTAAAAAAGTTTAAACTTTCTAAAACATCAAAACACCAGAAATTTGTTAAAAACATCAAAACAGAAATTTGTCTAAAACATCAAAACACCAGAAATTTGTTGCGCATATATCAAAATAATTATTTTATTAATGTTCTCAGGTAATTAGTCCTAATAAACGGTGGATAGTCTGGAAAAATTACAGTCCAAAATTTAATAAAGAAAAAATTAATAAGACTGTCCTACTACTTCAGAAGGTGCTACTGTGGAGGCAAAAAAAAAAGCCTGTAACTAAACTTTAAAACTTTATTTTAACAGTTAAAAGTTTTTTTTGTTATATTAATTTTTTCGCTATATGCCCAGATTAAAAAAACTGAAAATGTTATATAATAAGGGGCGGATTTGACATATCTAGCTTTCCGTGACCCATATTCCTGGTCTTCTTTTGCTTTGTAAAGTGAAGAAATAGAGGATAAATAGCTGAATAAGTATTAAAATAGAGGTAAATGTGAAATAAACTCCCCTAGACCCATAATTTATGAGTCATGACTGCTAATAAAAATAATATATTTAGTATGGTTTTATAATGATTTTATATCAAAATTCAAGATCAATATAAATATTTTAAATTGAATAACAGAGTGATCGAAACAGAGTTTACAGTTGTTAAAAAGCTAAATATTTAAAGACCATAAGCATTTCCAGATAAGCAAATTACGATCACTTAATTTGACCCTTGTTTTGGTATTGTTTTGAAATTTAATCTCAAATTAGTTTCATCGTCTATATTTATACTTTTTTTTTTTTTTTTTTTTTACATGATAATTTATATAATTTTCTTACACAACTTCTTATTGCAAAATTTTCTTTACCACTTTACCATCATGACCAAGTCTTCAGCCTTCTATTTTTTGTATTAAGTGTTGAAATACTTTACGGTTCTACTCACAGTACTTTTTGAACGTTCAACAGTTTTTACTGTCTGTAAGGTGTGTGTATATATATATATATATATATATATATATATATATATATATATATATATATATATATATATATATATATATATATATATATATATATATATATATATATATATATATGTGTGTGTGTGTCTGTGTGTCTGTGTGTATATATATATATATATATATATATATATATATATATATATATATATATATATATATATACACACACGTTTTTATAAGAAACTATACGGCGCAATGTTTCTTACACAAACAAACACGCTGTATTGCATAAAACAAAATTATCGTTTGCATCGCTATAGCTTTTGAACATGTAAAAACCATGGAAACCACATTTGAAATCAATGTTTTTTTACATTTAAAACTAACTGATTGAATGTCTGCTTTTTATTTATAGTTTTGAAAATGTTTTTATTTATTATTTCTAAATATATTTAGGAATTTGACAGTTAAACAACTATTACAAACAGCAACTACACTTAAAAATTAAATCCTCTAGGTTGACGGTATTAGAAATTGTAATACCGGGATATTGAGGATTTTTTTGTATGAAAAACTTGTACAAACAGTAATTAAAAGTATGATGAATCCCATCATCAAATTTACGGTTTAAATTCTCTATTAATTTTATTTTAGGATGCGGAATCTTTGTATTATTTAGCAATATGTTATGACAATGGTTTTGGCGTGAAACAAGATACTAAAACGGTTTTATTGCTATTATTATCATTATTATTGTTTATTATTACTATTATTATTATTATTATTATTATTATTACTTTTATTAATATATTTTTTTCATTTATTAGGTTTATTATTATGAAAATATATCACATTTAAACTTTTCAAAATGGTTTCCACAAATAGATAAGATTTCTGTTTACAGTGTTTTATCGGCAGTTTAAGTAAATTTTTTATAAATACATATTGTAGAAAACTTGCATTTTTAGGCGATGTTACACTATAAAAAAGCTGCGGAGATGGGTTACGCAGGTGCCCAATATATTGTAGGACATCGTTATAAAAATGGTCACAAAGGTTAACTTTTTTTTTAATTATTTTGTTAGCGTTTTTTTTTAGTTATGTTTTATTTTTATTTTTACTTTCATTTTAACTAGAGTGTCCAAAGGACTTGGTTAGTGCTTTAAAATGGTATAAATTAGCTCAAAAATCTGGTTACAAGAACATAGAAGAATGCATAGAGCTTTTGGAATACGAAATCAAACAACATAGTGAAGAGATTTTATTGGATGCGTTAGATTTAAATCCTATAAAGAAGTTTATTTTTCCAGTTGAAAAACACATCAAAGCAATACATAAGTCTTCATCAGCACCTTGTTTAAGACCATGTTGATGATAAAAAGGAAACTTTATCAATTATGAGCAACGACACGATGGTTTTCATCCTCATCTAGAATATTATATAACCCTAAAATTATATCTATAATTTTAAAAAAATTACAAGACTTAGCTATTACTAGCTATGTAAATATTGCTAAAGATCATCTTGATCTGTTTATTTATCATTGTTGTTTATACATTTACTCTCATTTTTATTTACAATTTACTTTTAGTTTTGTTAAGATATAATTAGGAGTTATAGCTTATAGTTATTCAAATATAATTAAGTATGTATTAAAATAAAAAAGCAAAAACAATTTCTTAAAATTTACAGCAGGTAAATGTGTTATCTCAAACGAACTTTCTTTCCAACAGTTGTAGAAATGAATACAACAGTTTTTATGTTTTGGAAGGAAAACATTGTCGTTTGTAAAACAAAATTTATGTTGTAAAACAATTGTTGCAGAAATTAAAACAAATCGGTTTCTGCGAAAATTTCTACTGTACTGTTTTTCTATAACTTTTGAAAACTAAGCATTCATTAGTATTTCTGGAAGAAAAAAAAGAAAGTCCTAATATAGAAAAGAATGTTTTCTATATTATGATTGTTTTAAAATGATTATTTTTTTATATTAGAAAAGTTTGAAATAATTATATTAAAAACATTTTCTTAAATATGCATCAAATACTTAAAAGTAGTTTTTGTCGCCAAATAAACAAAAAAGTTATATCTATCTCTTGTTTATGTCCTTCTCTGGTCATAATTATTTCCTTTGTTAATTTCTCTTTCAGCAAAACTAGTTTTTACTTTAATTTTTTTTTGATAATTCTATATAAAAGGTGAAGTTTACTAGAACTAAAGGATGAGTCCTTCTAAATCATGTGTATTTAATAGTGGTTTTAAGGATTATTTGTAATTCGATTTATATTTTAAATTTATATTTCTATTCATGTTTAAAATTACCCCTTTCCCTCTACTTAAGGTAGTTCCTAATTTTGGAAGGTTTTTGATAAAATAAATTTTTTATAAATGTGATCTTATAATGTAAAATTGAACTTTTTCACGTAGATAATTTTTGAAACATGAGTAATTTATCTCTAGCTTTTCTAACGTTGCCTTGTACGTCCATGTTGTTTAGTAATTAATTACTAAAAGCTGCGATGCTAAAAAGTGCAACCAGCTTTAATAAAAATTAATTACTAAGTAAACCAAGGTTACTTAGTAATTAATTTTTATTTTTACTTCCTTTAAATGTTTTTTTAACATTTTATTACAATTTAATAAAAAAAGCTAGTGAAACGATAACGATTGTATATTGAAAACTTTTGAAATAACAAGAGAAATGAGTAAAGGGTGGTCGTAGTTATAAAATTTGCATAAAATATACCAGTGATAAACTTTTTCAGGTTATATCAAGTATTTTGGTTATTTTTTTTAAACTTTAGTTTTTTTCGTATATCCAAAAAGATTTCCGTAATTAAAATTTTAAATATACTTAGCAATTTTTTTTTTCCTTTTTCAGTCATTACCCATAAAAGTTTCAAAAAATTGCGAAACCCATCGGTTTGAAGCAAAATTAAGGAAAATAAATCCGGTTATATGACGTGGATGATTATTGTTGATTTGGAGTTACCAAAGTGATTGAGTAACTTGGAATACAGATGGGTGTCTGCTTTAAAATAACTTCTGATAAAGTTAAGCGATGCAGAAAGAAATAAAATATTAACTTATTAAGGTGTTATGTTGCCAGGTTATGATCTTTTCATGTTTTACGATCCTGATTTAACATAAATACAGACATACAAAACTGCGTAGTTTCATGTTTGAAAGTTGTATCTCAAAACCTCCCAAAAAAGATTTTTAATATAAGACTAAATGTGTCTTTTTTTTAATAACGTATATTTTTTCATTTCTGTATTATGTACTTGTTTTAAACTTTACAACAATCTCTAAATACAACTATTTTTTAAATAAACATACAAAAGTTTTAATAAGTCATATAAAATTTAAATATTAATTGTGAAATATACTATTTATATTTTTGTTAGTAAATTTATTAAAACCTATTAAAAATATTAACATGTTATGCCGCGTCAACAAATTTCTGCATCTCTACGTCGTCTTATTTCTGAGGTCCCTTTAAATATTTGCACACATCGTTGTGCCAACACTTTAGGGCATGTACCATTACATGGAAACTTGCAATCAGCTTTAAAATGACGTAGTTCGTCACTTTGCAAGTTACGGTCAAGAAACCATTTAAAAAAAGAGTCTTCAATGCTGCTATTGTTAATTCGAACTTTAGACCATGTATAATCTATAATTGCTTGACCGTGTACAAGACACGAGTTCGCAAATACGCCAGTGTCTTTTTTGAATGTTTTTATTTTAGTAAGTACACTGTACATGTGATTGCGAAAATTTAGTATAAGATCGTGTTGTTTAGTGTTGCATTTTGATTGATCGTAAACACATTGAATTCCTTCAAGTTCTGATAGTTGCCAGTGATCGTAAAGTGAATTAACCAGAAAGATTGGTAGCTTAAGGTATTTCAAAGCATATTCGGGAAAAAGACACAAAAATTTTTCTTTTCTTGAGAAAGAAGCTAAACATTCTTTGTTGAGGATTGGCTTATGCAAACTGTATAAAGCTTTAAATTGTTGACGGGCTAAGTATATTCCTAACGATGAACTGCGATCTAAAAAAATGCCTGCGTCGCATAAACCACGAACATTTGCATTTTTTGGAAGAAAATGACGCATGTAATCTCCTTGGAGAACAACTGCTAGTCCACCAGCAGACGTACCGCTCAAGACGACGTCCGTTGCGCTTTGCAAAGATTTTTTGTAAAGGTCTTCTATAAGGACCTTTAGTATTTTACGTCCTTGAAAATAAAATATTTTTCCTTTGCCAATGAGAAATTTTTTTCGATTACCTGAAAATAAGCCCCCGTCACAATAAGATAAAACAACAACATTCCAATTGAAAAAATTAGGGTTTACGTTTTGGTTTTTTGACAAAATACCATGAAAAAAACTGTTTATATTTTCTTTAGCTGAATTTTTAGTGGAACCTAATATAGTTCCGCGTCGTTTAGAGCAACTATGTACATTATAACACCACGCTCCTCCGTGAAGATGTATAATCCATTTTGTTGCACCATTATTCCACCCTTTTCTTAAATAGTAACCAGGGGGAGAGCCATCTATACAATGAGCCTGGTTATTATGATTATTAATACTGTAAAATTTTATGTTATGTTCGTCTGTTAAACTTACATTTTCATTTTTTAAAAAATTTTCAAACTTTGAGTTTGATTGATTAAACGCATGCGTGTTTACAGCATGTATTATTTTTTCATCCTGAGAAGATTGGTCGTCTACAAAAAAGTTTTTTGAGTCTTTATAATTTTTATGGATTGCATTTATAATTATATCTTGCATCTCCTTTTCGTTTGGTTCACTTTTAATTATATGGTTTAGCGAAATCTCTTTTATATTAGGTAAAGAAGAACTATTAATTGATTCTTTAAGTGACGAGCTTATAATGGGTTCTTTATCTTCATTACCAGATGCGTTGTTAAACCTGTGCGTTGCTAAACCTGACCTTTCAAGATTTTCATTTTGAAAAGAAAATGAAAATTTGAAGTTTGGATAAACTTTTCTACTTTTATCCTCGTTCATTTCAAAAGAATTACTGTTAGCAATTTCACCCGAAAATTCCATGGGATCTTCTAAGTATTCCATAATTGATGCACTAGGTTGAATCTGCTGCAATGTTTTATTATCCTTGATCTGATCAAAATTTTCTAAGCTTTCGCTTACTACTTGTTGTTCGATTTGATGATTTTCATCAGCAGTTTCTTGATTTTCTACACTTGGTACTTCATGGTCAACTTCTTTGCTTAGTATTTCATGGTCATTTAATAAATTGATGTTATCTTTTATATTTTCGTCGTCTAACAGATGATTTTTATTATCTATTTTATTTAGTTTAGAATCTAGAATACCTATATCTTCAAAAAGATTCGGTGACTGTCGGTTTTGTTCTGTAAAAAAGTCAATAATTCGTGAATGTAAGTCAGATACTGGTCTACGTTTAAATCCCGTTATGTAAAAATTTTTTGAATCATAAAAACCTTTTAACAAACCATAGCGGTTTGTGCTAAACTTACTGTTTTTAGGACTGATAGTACCAACGTCGTTTAAACTCTTATTTCTGTAATGCTCATAAACTTCGTTTGAAATATTAGAATCGACAGCCTTATATAATGGAGTGTTCGGTTTGTCAATAACTAGGGATGGAATACCATATTTGGTAATATTATACAAAAGAATATTTGAATCGTTGGTGTTTAGAGACGTAACATCTTGAAGTACTGTACCATTCTTTGTTTTTTCATTTTTGAAAATATCATAATGTGATAAATTGAAATGGTTGTTTCTTCTGAAGTTAAAAAATTGAGCATTTTCATGTATGTATTTTTCATTTAATTTCCGAAGATCTATATTTTTGCTATTAATAAACGATTTTATTTGCAAGCTACTAACATCAAACAGTTTATCTTTCTGAAACAACTCAACTAATCGAAATTTATTTTCGGATGTATTTATATTTTTAAGGCGGTTTTCAAAATCGTAATTTCTAAACGACAAAACTTCTCCGACAAACATTAAAAAAAGAACTAAAACATATAACTTGTGTGTCACTATATATAGATGGAAGCAATGATGTGGCGTTAACCATAATCCCATTTTGTATTTTTCAGAAAGCGAAAAATCCGAGACATTTCTTTTTTATTTTTTACTATATTAATTAAATGTTGATTTACTTGAAAAAAGGTCACTTTTTTGGTGCGCTTATTAAACTTCGCGTTTTGCTGAACTATTGAACCAAATAAACAGCGCTCCGCCTTATTGCCTAACTTTTAATAAGTCTATCATAGTCTTAATAAAATTATACCGAACTTTCTCAAAGCGACAAAGAGCTTTTATCGTATCTGTTGTTTAATTTTCGAGGTCTTTATACCTATGGTAAAACCGGTCAATTAAGATTGTTTGCACTTGTTTAACATTGTTTTCAGAGTTTGGTGTTTGAATTTAGAAGAATGATTGAAAATGCTACGCTTGTCGGTTTTTTTAAGGCAAAATGCTATTACAGAGGAAACTACATTGTTTTAAGCAAGGCCACAATCAAAAATAGTGTTGTTATTATGAAGATTATTTATGTCACTTATAACTAATATATTTAAATAAATATTTAAGTTAATTTTTGCTAATAATAAGTTTTGATAAATTTAAGATTTTAAAAACTAAACAAAATCTGTTTTACAAGAAGGTTAACTTTGAGCATACAATTACTTTTTAAGCGAGAAAAAATTGATTCGCAAGAAATTTGCCGTTATTATCAAAAAAAGCTCGTATCTGAAAAAAAAACTTAAATGACAATAAATAAATTAAATGTAATAGACCAAAAATAATGTAACTAACAAAATCACTTAAATTGAGTTTAGTATATAATCCAATGTTAGTCTTAGGGTTAGTAATAATCTGAAGGCAACTAACGAACATTAATAACTATTTTTGTGCCGAATATCAGAATATTTCGGGTTCGCATTGGTTTATACGAAAAATCTCGATTTTCAAACCATGTTTTCTCTGTTTCGCAAAAAATGTCAGTTATAACCTTTTTGTTCTGAACCCGCAATTAGACAATGTACAACTACTGTACTATTTTTTTATACCTAATAATTGAGGTTTTCTAAACTTTTAAGGCCCTAATAAGAGTAGTGTTGATATACGGCAAAAATATTCTCGCCTCCAATTTTCTTCCGCAGCAGACGATGGCTGCCTCCCAATTTCTTTTTAGCGGTAAAACTTTCTTTATTCCATCTCCAGTGGCTTCTGCCTTTCTATTTGCGGCCGCAGTCAGAGTTTTTTTTGGAGGCAAAAAGTTTTGGAGGCCGACGCCAATAGAGAAGCGGAAGCCAATGGTGGCCACCTCTAGAATAAATTTTAGAGGCAAAACCATTTAGAGCCGCCTCCATAAGCTTCTGCCTCCCAGCTGGCTGCTGACGCCAAATTGCAGGCGGAATTGTTTGCCTTCTGAAAAATATTTGCTCGTTTCTTTGACAAATTTTAAAACTTGTCAAAGAAAAGTAGATGAGTCTATATCTTTTTAAAAGTATAGAGTAAAATATAAATAATATTTATAAAAGTATATATATCTAAAGTTTATAAACTTTATTTTGTTGTAATTCGGCAAAACTATTAGTGTTATACAGCGTGGTCGCAAATTTTTAATAAACATCAGCAGATATTTTTCAATAACTTTTACAATATCCAATTATTAAAAATAAGTATTTAACTTTATGGCAAATGGTAAAATAGATAAAAAGCTTACATATCGACTTGTTCTAAAAAACTTTGACCAAAATCAGTCAATTTAATTACTTATTATAATGTGTTTCTTTTTTTGTCAAAAAGATTTATTCGCTAATGGCATAAAAGTAAAATTTCCAACTTTTAACTTTTGTTTTGAATAATAAAACTACTAATTTATTCTACTTAATTCATTAGTTTGAAAAAAAAATTAAAAGTTTTTTAAATATTCAAAATTTTTCCAAGTAATCATACAAAATGAAACTTGATGTCGAACATTTATTATTTGTTTCTAGTTAATATTTAATTTCTTTAAAGTAAGCGAGCAATTATTTTTCATTACATCCGCCGGTGGGAGGCATATATTGAAGCAGCCGTGGCGCAGTGGTTAGAGTTCTGGCCACTTGCGAGTTTTCTTAAGCAATACAACGACAAATGATTTATCTTGAACTTTTGTTAATTTGCTTTATATATAAAAAATTTATATTTTTTAGACAGTATTTTTTATTCCCTTTTAGAATCTGGTTTTAAAAAGATATCTGGAATTGAACTTGTTGAATAGTATTAATTTCAGTAAAATAACTTTTGTGGTGCATGTCGGAACAGCAAGTTATATTACTGACTATATTACTACCATTTTGTGTTTACAGATTGATAATTTTATTGTTATTCTAAAATATTATTTTCCTTATTTAGAAATCAATATTAGTAATAAATTCAAAAAAATTCTTATTTGTATAACTCAACTTAGATTTTTCGAAATGAAAAACAAGTTCCATTATTCTTAGTTTTTTTACTTGTTAATTGGCTCTTATTTTGATATTTAACAGAGTTGCCAATATATTTTAATGAATATTGATAAAACTATATGATGTTATTTACTTTCTTGATTTAATGGAAACATTTATGCAAGCTTTAACTCTTTTATTATATTGGAGATACTATTTTTTTTAACTTGTAAAGCCCACCTAGGGGCTCTATGAAAAGATTGTGGTGACTTTAGTCATCCGTATCTTCTTTGAGCCCCTGCCTGTTTATTATAAATTCAGTTTTTTTTTGTATGTAAACGTTTCTTTGTAATTATATTTCTTATTATATAAACAGCAAATATATATTAAATAAAAAAAATAAAAAAATTTGATTAATAATAGTGTTTAATGTAAACAACGATGGTAAGAAATAATATAAGAAAGATCAATCGTCCGAAATGATATGAATTGCAGTTTTAGTTGTGAGTAAAAAGGAACTTAAGGAATTCGAAAAGCTGCTGATTCATATGGCATAATTAAGTTTGCCTTTAATCGGCATATTGCTAATAAGCAAGCTCATCAAAAATGTTGCCAACTAGTTTCAAGATATTTTTTGTGTGGTTTATGTGATCCTTAATATTTTTTGTTTAATTTTAAATTCAGTAGTAGTTGCCAATTTAATAATATATAGATTATTGTTTTTTAAAAATTTTTTTTATTTTAGTTGTTATTTGTTTTTGTGCTGTATGAGTGTATTGGCGTGTAATTTGTATAGGTATGTGACTTTTTTGAGAGATTAATGTCTGAACATGTTTAAATGATAGATAACTTTTATTTTTTTTCGTTTTCTTATTTTAATGAATTTTAGGAAACTAAAAATAAAAAACAATGTTGACTATGATTAGTCTATCCTACATCAAAATTAAATTTTTTGTACGACAAACGAAAATTAATTTGCATAAAAGCTAAAACTATTTTAACACGAGCTAAATAAAAACAAGAACTATATATATTGCCCGAACGAAAATATCATTGGGAAACGCGATGTCGAATGTTGATTCGACATCGCGTTGAAGGAAATTTCTTTGCGATAAGAAAATGATGGGAGGAAAAGAAAGACTAAAAGCAGTTTAAAAAATAAAAGTATTTTAGAATTGCAATAAGGCAAAGTATTTATTATGTATATCCAATGAAAAAAGTATATGGCCTGTTTTATTTCACTATTGTGAAATTTTGGATGAACTATCTTGTCACCAATTCTGTATACGTACAACAAATGGTTGGTGTGCCTGGCTATCAGACAAAATTACTTAAAAATCAACATATAAAAAGAAACCAAATTTGCCATTGTCTATTAAATCTATATTTAGATCTCTTAAAAGATGAATTTTTAAATAAATGCTTGGATGAGCAAAATCAAAATAACAACGAGACGTTGATCAATATTATTTGAAAAGAGTGCCCTAAAGGTGTGTTTGTGTTAAAGAAAGTACTAGAACTATCTGTACTTTCAGATATTATTGAATTTAATGATGGAGTTTATGATGGAGATGAATTTAATTATAGAATGGAACCTATTATTTTAATTAATAATAATAGAATGGAACCTATTATTATAACTAATTTTTTGATAAGTAATGCTTTAATACTCCATAATCAAAGTATAATATTTATGAAAAGAAAGTTTCTTCGCTCAGTCTCACTAAAGAAGCAACTGAGCGAAGAAAGAAACTGAAAGCCGTTAGGAAAGGATTTGCTAATAAAAGAAAATCAAAATAAAACTAGACGCTCTTTACTCAGAAATCTCCATCTAGAAGTCCTAGACTGATTGACAGAGACAATCCTAGACTGATAATCAAAGCAAATATAAAACCGATCCAGAAGAAATCTTCCACCATTCCACCTAGTCATCTACGCTACTGGGCAAACAACCCATCTCACTCAAAAATGACAAACGCCAAGAGCTGTTGGCCAAACTATCTGCTCTGCCTAAATCTAGTTGGCCACACGCCATATTTTTGGCGGAAATTTTGTTCACAGATTTTTCAGACGTTGCCATAGGCGGCTACCAACCTCATCGCAAAGACAGAGACAATAGGGGCGGTGGAGTTGCCATTAACATAAAAGACAATATTATAGTCAATGAAGTTAATTCTACTTAGCTCAACTCAATATCAATTGAGCAAGTTTGGCGAAGAATCTTTTCTCCTCGGCTGCTTATATCGTCCTCATGACCTTTATGATTAGGTTCTTTTTTTCTTTTTTTTTTACATGTTTATTTTACAACTACAAAGTATTTACAAGTAACCAATCACAGATTGGCGGTAAAGATATACAAACATAAATATCATAAACATAAAGTTTGAATATACGAAGCAAACAAAATTATAGTTGCACACAACTCCGAGACACGATTAAAACAAACGCCAATTACAAAAATGTAGTAACGTGTACGTAAAAATAATCCGATAAATATATCTTTATATTATTCCAGTTAAAATAAAAAAACACAATAAATAAAAATAAATTAGCTAATTTTTCGGAGAAGTGTTTAGATATTTGACTATAAATTTATTTACCACATTTCAAACTAATGTTTGTCTATAAATACGAAATAAAAATGTCTGATAATGTCTGATAAAAATTTGTCTGATAAAAACGAAAATTGGGTAAGATTGATAAGAAGAATTACTTGTTAGTAGTTATAGGAAGCTTG